GGGGGAAGGGGGTTATCTATCTATTTTGAAACCCAAATATTTTAAATTTTGTTACATACTAATATACTAAAGAAATATGTGAGTCAAAAAAGAAACAAACTAAATGTAGAGTTCCCGTATATATAACTAATAAAAGTTTACAATGAGAATAAAAAAGTAAAACAAAATAAACCTTAATAAACTAGGTTGTTATATCTCTAACACTTCCCCTCAAGTTAGGTTCAAAAATGTCAATTAAGTTAAGCTTGACAATAGAGTCTTGAAGAATGGATAGAGTGATAGGTTTGGTAAAAACATCTGCAATCGGATCACTGGTTCACACGAACGATGGAGTGACAATACCACTGTTAACCTTCTCTCAAAGAAAGTGAACATTGATCTCTATATGTTTCGTCCTCTCGTATAATACAGAGTCAGAAACGAGGTGAATAACAGATTGATTATCACAAAATAATTAGATGAAGAAGTCATTGGAAATCCTAACTCGCCAAGAATCGATCGTAGCAATATAATCTCACATGTGCCAAGTGTCGGTGCCTGATACTTTGCCTTTGCTGACGAGCGAGAGATAACTGACTGCTTCTTACTCTTCCAAGAGATAAGATGAGTCTCTCGAAAAGCACAGAAACCCGTAGTAGATCGACCATCACACGTTCTCCCATAATTTGAAATGAATAACATGTTNAGATAAGATGAGTCTCTCGAAAAGCACAGAAACCCGTAGTAGATCGACCATCACACGTTCTCCCATAATTTGAAATGAATAACATGTTAGAGAAGCAGTCTGAGATCCTGATGCATAGAACAACCCAAGTCCAGAACAAGACTTGAGGTACCGAAAAATATGATAAACTGCATTAAGATGAGGTTGACATTGTTTGTGCATGAATTGACTAACTCGACTGGCAGCAAATGAAATGTCTAGCCTAGTGTTAGGTAGGTAGATAAGTCTACCTACCAACATCTGATAGACAGTCAGATCTCTCAACTTCTCACCTTCAATAGTAAGCTTCAGGTTTGGAATCATGGGTGATGATGCCTGGTTTGCACCCCAGCATCCTAGTGTCTGAGAGAAGATCCAGAACATACTTTTTCTGAGAAAGAACAATACCCCTGCTGCTATGGGCAACCTCAATCCCAAAAAAATATCGTAGAAATCCAAAGTCCTTCACATTGAAGGCCTTCCCAAGGTCTACCTTGACATGCGCAGTCTCAGAAACATCATCTTCAGTAATAATAATATCATCAACATATACCAAAAGGATGACACACTGTTTAGAAATATTTTGTTGAATGAAGCAAGTATGATTAGAATGACATCTAGTGAATCATAAACATACAACTACATCACTAAAACGAGAGAACCATACTCGTGGTGACTGTTTCAGTCCATAAAGAGACTTCTGCAGTCGACATACCTTTCCAGCATACTCCCCTTTACCACGAAAGTCTGGTGGTGCATCTATATAAATAATCTCGTTTAAATCACTGTGAAAAAATGCATTCTTCACATCCAACTGATGAAAAAGCCAAGAGTACTCACAAGTCAGAGAAATAATCAATCAAATAGTAGTCAATTTTGCCACGGGGGCAGAGGTAGCACCAAAATCAATACCTGGTACCTGAGTAAAGCCCTTCGCCACAAGCTGAGTCTTGTGACGATCAATAGTACCATCCACAAGAAACTTCAGGGTGTAAACCTAACGATAGCCAATAAGCTTCACCCATGAAGGTAAAGAAACAAGATCTTATGTATGATTACGCTGAAGAGCGTCTATCTCCGTTTGCATGACAAGAACCCACTAGGGCTCTCGCACAGCCTCTGAAACAAAGCGAAGAACCAGCGTATCTGATAAGGTCATACTATAAGCTCGAAATGCAGGAGAAAGATCACCATAAGAAATATAAGCAGAGATCGGATATAAAGTCCTAGCAGTCCAACCATAACAAACAACTGGACAATGATCACGTTGTGGATAACGACGCCCTAAATCATCATCTTCCACTAACAATGTCTCATCAAGGAAAGTAACTGGTTCAGTACCTGTAATCTCATCAAGGAAAGTAACTGGTTCAGTACCTGTAATCTCATCAGTACTAACAATAGGTGCATCAATATGTTCAATTAATTGAGAAGTATTATCTACATCGCCTGAGGTATAGGGGATATCAGCAAGGGAATGAGAAAGAGGGCGACGAACATAAACCTGCAAAGGAAGAGAGAATGATGACTTTGTACTGACAGAGATGAGTGGCTCTGGTAGAGGAAAAACTGATGACTCTGTAGTGATAGTGATCAATGGTTTTGACTCCTGTGGTAACGGAAAATCAAAAAAAGTATCATCAACTGGAGGGACAGACACAGGAGTAGAAGAAAAATAAGGAATGTGCTCAAGAAAGGTAACATCTAGACTGTGATACATATGACGACTAATAGGATCATAACACTGATACCCTGTGATTGGTTTCTCTTTGTGAATTATAGCATCTTTTGTTGCTTGCAGCTCTTGTCACGCTCCCACTCCGGATCACGTACACTGCCCACCCTACGTGATTCGAAGCGGGGGGGGGGGGGGGGC